AAAAAAAGGGCCTAAATTTATTGCTAACGGTGCCTTAATAGCCCATAAGAAAACCAACCGAATTGTTTGAACCACAGCCTGCATCTTCGCTTTGGTCTCATTGTTCCTTTCTGCTGGCTCTGCGATGACGTTTTCGGTTCGAGCTAACAAAATCGAAGTCCGATCACCCGGGCTAGGCAACGGCTTAGGAGGAGGTGGCGATGCTGTTGACTGAACAAACGAGTCATTCCTATGAAGAGAAAGATGAAATGTTCTGCAAGCTACAACCTTCTTTCTATATCCTACTCTTCGACCATTCAGTGTTTTGTGAGTTTCTTCAGGGGTTCCTTCTTCGACAGGTTCCAGTATGCGAATTCTAGAAAGGAAAAGTAATTACAGAAGTTCTAAACCTCTGACCAGAATTTATATACCTTCTATGAGCACTCAAAACCAATTCCAGAACCTTGCCATGATCACGCATTTCTATGATCTGAAGAAGTTGTGTTAGTTTGAATCATGACAAAAAAGTGATAGACCCCAATGAACTGAACACACCTGAGCAAAACATCCAACGTTATATAGCTGTGACAATGAAGACACGATTTCTTCCTTATTTCTTAAAACTCCGTTGGAAACAAAGAAAAGAAGGAAATGTAGACAAGAAGAAAATGTGAAGGAGAGGAAGAACTAACTCGTCATCTTGCTTAACAAAAACCCCGACGTAAGGTTGTTTGAGCGCAACTCTGTTTCGGATTATTTGTTTGAGGGGATCATCCTTCACAATCTGAAATTATGGCGCTATTAAATGCTAAAGTATTCAAACTTCATAGAGCCGTTGACTTTTTTTTNTTTTTTTTGTAGAAAAAAGGTCTAATTAAGAGTTCATTGATAAATAGCCAGCGAATTCTACCCAACGTGCCCACAATTGATGGAATGTGGTGGAACGGTTCTCGCTGAACGGTAGGCCGTAATTAAGTAGAAAATCACTGAACCAGGACAAAGATTTGAACGTATAAATGTGCTACAAAATAACCTAGCCCGTAGGGTTTGCCTGATTTTGTTAAGTTCTTCTCGTATAATATAAACATGAAATACGAAAGCGGCCAACAAAGAAATAATAAGAGGAAATGTTCACTCCGTAAAAAGGCATTTCTAACACCACACCTTCACAGAAAGCTTTAAAAGGATCATCAAATAAAACTCACATCTACTTTTTTTATGAAGCCAGGAAATAATGGATAGCGATTTATGGCTATAACTGGTACAATGGGAAAGACATCCGGGATGTTGATAGTACTCATTCCAGCCTTGAATAATTAATTCATAAGCACTAAGAAAACATGAGCGAAAAAACATTCTAATCTCACAGCATCGGTGCCCTCAACAATTGCTGTTTCCAACGTTCCAGATTCTTCTTCCGACGTCGGTGCAGGGCTGTCACTCTCTCCATTAGAACTGAAATCATCTACTGCAACTAGTAAAAAGAATGCTGTCTTACGTGAAATGCAAAATTACCTGCTTGAGAACAAACGAGCCTGTTGTAATGGATTTACTGAGTAAATCGGAGTTAGGGAGACAGCTGGTTTTGTCGGCACTCTCAAGACGGATGCGGACCGTAACCACGATCGCCGGAGCGCTATACGCATGCACAGCGCACCCGTTCGCAGCATTTCTTTCAAGTATTCGTCTAAGAAAGACTCATGTGAAAAACAATATGTTCACATAGTGTGAGCAGCAGAATGGGTATAAAATGCCCAATCCCAAAACAACATCAAAGTAAATACAGAATTTATACCCCGCAGCCAATAAGACAACCATAAGAACCAAATAACATAAAAGTTAATCAATGGTAATGGAACTATTTGGTCTTCTTAGTTTCCTTGACTTCTGTCGTGTCGATGGGTTGCCACTAAAAATACAGTAATTTCAGACGCCTTCTACTGCAGGGATATTTCGACTCACAGCTATGGGATTTTTACGAAAGAGGAATGGCCAGGGAGGAAGAATTATTAAGGCAGACAATGCAGCTCCAGCAAGAACGGTGTAAATAGCATGCGATAATTGTTGTGTTGCAAAACCAATGGCAAATCCGATGATACCAGCAAGTACGATTATGACCTGAAAACCTGGTTGGCAAGACGTTTGACAAAATAAACAAAAATATTTCTCTACACTCAGGCTCACATCTGGAAAACGCGCTTCCTTTTAAGAAATGTGCCACTATCAACAAATACACAGTTTTCGATCAGAACATTAACCTGCCTAGTAATTCACAGTGTGAGCCATGAATATGGTAACGACTTTACGCGAGGACGCACTTTCTCGATTAGCAGGTTTTCGATACCTGCACTTTCTATGAATGAATTTATGGTACACTTTAGCTCACATATCTGCTTTCCTGCTTTCGCTCCGTCAATTTCCGAAAAATGGTGGTTACTCCCTTCCATCCACCAGCTTTTTGAGCGCATTGGCTACTTTTAGACTTCAACGATTCAGCCGACGTGCATGCGTAAGTCCGTCCGTTCGTCGCGAGCGCGCTACGACGGCGCTGCTAGCCACTTGTTGAAAACACTGGCATGTGATTCATCGGCGTCCAATATTGTTAACCCTGTCTAGCGCCCCCGTCGCTGGTATGCACGCGACTATCGGGCGGTCGGCCGTTAGTGAAAGCGGCCATTGAAATGGGCGAATACGGCAGAGATACAGGGTGATTGCACGGGACACTATTTGTGGGGTATTTTGACAAACAGATGGAAGGAATTCAGGAATGACCTTCAGTCTAAACTAAACA